TCACTATAAAAATACATGGTTCAGTGGCTTCTCGTTAGGGTCACGGTGTTTGTAATTTATTCACGTCCAACTGACACATACAATTGAATTCCAGATTAATTTATTTTCAGGGATAATAGCATAAAAGTACATTTTATGACTAGTCCTTCAGCCCAGAAGAGACCCTTATGGAAACGTGTGAAGCTCTTTTTTGTTCTAAATTAAAGTGTATGGAATCAGTACATACTGACTGCTTTCTTGTTTTGTTTTTTTTTATTTATTTATAAAAAGCTCTATCTTTGCTTTCAGATTCGTACACTGCTCACTGCAGTTTGGCCCCAGAGCTGCCTGCTCTCTTTAATCCCTTGATAAAAGCCAGGTGGTTTTACATCTGGCTGTGTGCACTACCTATACCTGCAGTTCCAGCAGGCTTAAAAATAGGCTACTTGGACAGAATGGTATAACAATTTTTTTTTCAAGCTTTCCACATTTTTATATGTGAAGTGGTTTTTTGGTTTTTTTTTGGTTTGTTTGTTTTTTTTTTTTTTTTAATTTTCCTCCTACTACCATGCTTTCAGGTTTGCTTATCTTTCTCCAGCGATACACTGCTATTACTTGCTGTGTTTGCATCCCTTATTGGTGCATACCTTTTAATTTAGGAATAAAAAGCACTGATTGTTCTGCTTCATTTTTCAAAGCAGGTTCAGTTTCTGGGCTGTGCAGAGAGCTGCCAGTCATTTACTGTGGGTACATTGCACCCCACCCACGCCGCGCCTTCCACGTCCTCACTCCTCAATGGAGCTGATTGTTTAACCGTGTTTATAACCAGCGCTGTTTCTGGAGCGTTTCCTAAATGTTGTCTGGTTTAAGGTCCACCCGCCTGAGGGTTTGGCTTTCTGCTCTGACATATTCTGTAACAAAGTGCAAGAGCCAGCCTCTGGGGGTGTGTGTTGGCAGGTGGGACCTGGGGCATGTCCCCTCTCCCGGGGGCTGGATCCCTCATGTCTGCATGGCACCTGGGGGGTTTGGATCCCAGCCTTCCCAGCGATGGAGCAGCATCCAGGTTGCACATGAATCCACATGGAATTCCAGCTGCCCGTGGATCATCCTGCTCTAACAGTAAGGCAGATCTGTCACTGTGGTCGAGCGGATTCATTTGCCCGCAGGTGAATGGTGTGTTTGGACTGATCATTTAATATAAAAACACATCTTACTTGCTTTGTGGTACTTTTGGTGGAGTTTTTTTCGTTTCCCTTCGATTGAATAGCTATATAAAGCTTCATCTCTTATCGCTCTCGCAGAGGAAAAAGGTTTCTTTTCTCTTTAAGCAGGATTTCCCCTATTTCAGTTTGTGACTGTGACTCTGTCTTCTCTCCCCTTCCCCACCAGGCATTTAAACACGTGGATGAGACCCTCTGAGCCTTCTCCTCTCCTGGCTGAGCTGTCCCCGTGCTCACACACCAGCTGCCCCGGTCCCTCCATCACCTTTGTGGCCCTTTGCTGCGCTCGCTCCAGTAAGTCTGTGTTCTTCCCTGTACTGGGGGAGCCCTAAACTGGACCTGGCCCTCTCCATGTGGCCTCACAGCTCCTGAGAAACACAGAAAGGGGGTGCAATATTGAACACCAGAGACCTGTTGGTGAATGTGATAGAAATAAGCAGCGTTCCCATTCCTGCCGTGGAGAGCTAAGCTGGCCCAGGGGCATTTTTGCAAAGCAGTTGGTGGTGTTGGTTGTATTTCCCCTCTTGCGTTTTCTTTCACAACATCTAGTGCTTCCCCAACACTGTTTTCTAAACATCGCTTCTAAACATTTGTGATTTGTTTACGCCTGTATTTGCAAGAGCTTCCAGCTGTTACCTTTGGATTCCCAGCAGGTAGCTCTAAACTGGAGATGCTTTTGGACGTTGATAGGGAATAAAGCACTGTTTTCTCACTCTGTATACCATAGTTTGATATTCTGTCATCCCCTGCTTTATCTTCTGCCCCCAGGGAGGTTATTTTTACGCTCTCATCAGTGTAGTGACCCCCAACTGTTTTATTTTTGTGCTCTCAGCGGTCATTTGGCTTACCCTTGTTTGCCGATCCTCACAGATCCGTGTCTTTTTCCTGCCTATGGTGGCTTCTGAGCTGGAGAAATGGCACTTTAAGTTAATTTATTATTTTATTTGCAAAAGGAGAGACTGGCAGGTCAGTCACTGAAGGGGGGTTCAGTGCTTAGGTAGGAGCAGGACCAGATGGTAAAGCTGATGGGAATGACAAGGGGTGCAGGCGTGGAGGTGTTCCTTCCCTTTTGAGAAGCATCCTGTGGATGGTCTCATCCCCCAGCCCTGCTTGGGGTCCTTTTCCCATGTCACCAAACTCTCTTGATCTGAATTGATCCAGGACTGTGAAAGACTGAGTCCCCCAAAAGCATTCAAGGCTCAAAACAGGCTTTTGGCTTTGGACTACCTAATTCTTACCCACCCTTGCCTACCCCTCCCTTTACTGACCGAAGCCAAAAGCAAACAAATATCTGCCCGTTTCATGTTTCAGCTTTCCTCTGCTGTTAATCCGCACGCCTTTGGTTGAGACCGCACTTTGTGGACAGCAGATGTTCTTCCCTGGCTTTGAGTGTCAAAAAAGATTTAATGACAGATCAGAAGAGAGATGCTTGTCCCAGCCCCTGGCAGATGGACCTCATCCGCTCCAGGCGGTTCCTGTCAGGCCATGCCGCAGCGCAGGCAGCCAGCGTCCCCTGGCCAGCATCCCCCCGTCCAACCCCTCCACCCCGGCGGTCATGGCGAGGACAAAACATGGGGTTGGCCAAAAATAAAGTGCTGTGGTAAGCACTCTTCCAGAATTTATTTTTCTTTGGCTTTTAAAAGAAAAATTGTAGCTCATAATGTACAGTAAGAAGAGATGTATAGAAAAATATTAAACTCCTAAATGCAACCCTGGAGCTGCGAGGTCAGTTTTGCGGCATCCTGGTTCCAACAAACAGGGCAGGAGCAGAGCCACCCCTTCCCCATGCTCCTCCTGGCTTCAGAAGAGCAAAACATCGCTGAAGAATGGTGTTGGCAGGAGTGAGCTATGAGAAAACAGAGACCAAGAGAGATAGGAGCAAGAAATCTGCTGGGAGCATCTTGTTATTCTCTGGATTTTGACAGATTGACTCCTTGATGTCCTCTCTGGGAACACCCTCTGGCATTGATCCTCAGGGCTGGCTTGTATGTTGGAGGGATGATTCCCAGCAGCACAAGGAAGGGAGGAAGGAAATTTTCTTTGTTTCTGAAAGGATTCTCTGCCTGTATCCCGTGTGTGGCACATGAATGGGGCGATAAAGGGGAGGTGGAAATCCCACAAACCCCTCCCAGGGCAGGAGGCTCTGGCTTTCTGCTCTTCCCCTCGGCCTTTGGTATCCCTGACACTCTGGAAGGTCCTCAGAGCTGCTTGGAAGAGAAATGCATGGAGAAGAAAGTACCCCAACCACATTGATACAACTCCACTCCTTCAGCAAGCTCTATATTTATATTTATTTGATACTCGTTTGAACAGCAGAGAGTTTGGCGATAGAGGCAGCCTTGGCAGTGTGTGCTCTGCATCTGTGTGTTTCCATCCCTCCAGCCTGCCTCTCCCACCCGACATCTCCGAACACCCACAGTTGTGTTGTATTTAAACGAAGCAGCAAATGGAAATACCTCTCCCGTGGGCTCCCCAAAAGCATTGTGTCCTGGCACCCCCGACCCTGGCTGCGCAGGGGACATGACCCAAACTGGGGAGGTTATTCCCAAGCACCGAGCTGCAAAGAACTGCTGATACCTTTGAGCCCGCAGCCAGCAAACCCACCTCGACAAAGCCTCAGTAAGCTGTCAGGGTGACCTGCGCTTCTTTCCCTTCATTGCTGTTTATTTAGTGTCTTTTTTTTTTAACCCTTTTGTCAGAAGAAAAATTACTGAGGCCAGAGGTTCAGCTGGGCACGGCTTTATTGGCACCAACAGTACTCAGCAGGTTTGTGTGTGCTGAGGACTGTGCCTGGACCAACACAGGCTGGAGTGTTTCAGCTGCGTTTCCCTCACTAGAATAGGTCAGATGGTTCCTAAAGCTGCTAAAGTGAGGTGTCCTGGGGCTAACTTTCAATAGACAGTTGGCTTTTTATACGGCAGCATATTCCCTAACAGCATTACATTTCTGTTATTTACCCAAAACTTTCATCTCCTATTGCCAAGAATATGTTTGTCTGACTGTGCTGTAAGACATCACCGCTTCCTCCATGATGCTGGGGCATAAATAAAGCTTCTGATGGTATTTTTTAAAAGATCTGGTGGTGGGTCTAGCTCTCCCACTGAAACCAGTGAAACTGATGAGAAAAAGACAAAAAAACGGGGAATGCTTTGGGAAAGGACGCCCTCCTTCTCAGTAAGTCAACTCATGCCTTGCTCACTCATCTATGCATGTAGCTGGATGGGTCCAACAACCCATTGACCAGCTGGTACTCAGCCAACAAGCCCAATTTTACCTCTCAAAGCAAAGCAGGAGTAACTCCCTCTGCCCACTGAGATGGGACCTTGATCCCCAGAAGCCTGGATCGGAGTGCTGTGGGGGTTGAGGAGCTCAATCCCATGTGCTCCCAGGGTTTACAGGGAAGCAAAACAGGAGAAGAAAGCAGGAACTGGCTTTGCTGGTGTCCCAGTGAAGCTCAACAAGATAGAAAGGACACCGCAGAGCGATAGCCCCGGGCGGCCAAGGTGGATGTTGGCAGGGTTCTGAAACAACCGAGCCATCCTAATAAATTCCTTGTGTAAAAAAAATATATCTGTAGATAGTGCCTTAGTGAGAACAACGCAGCTGCTGAGGGGGCTGGAGGTGGCCAAATGAAATGCTCTCTAACCCGCTGCCAAGCCGCGGTGACTTTCTTTGCAAAGGGTGACTCTACTGGAACATGTGCACGCGGGTGTGCATACGTACGTGTACGCCATGTACCTATAGCTCTACAATCCTGCTGCCAAGGGGCGAGACCTGGGGTGCGGGCAGGTAGCGTAGAGCCCCCCACCGTTACACGATCATGAACTGGCAGATGTAGGGCAGCTGCTCCTTGCACCTCTTGTCGAACCACTTCCCCACCGCCATCCCGGACAAGGCGGCGCAGTTCTCCGTCTTGCCGCCGTCGGGCTGGGTGGTGATTTCAGTCTCCCAGTTTTTGTAGCGCATGGGGCTGCCCGTCATGTCGACCCACTTGCCCTCGGCCGCCATGTCATTGAGGCCCAGCCAGATCTCCGCCTCAGTGCCGATGCTCTTGCGCATGTAGTCGTACAGGGCGTCGTTCTCCTCCCCGTTCTGGGGGGTGCTCAGCGTGCCCCCCTGCGAGATGCAGTTCTCGCTGGCCTCGTGGTACGTCTTGGTCTCCGGAAATGCCAGGAAGCATTTTAGGTGGATTTTGGTGCCTTTCAGGCAAACTGAGAGAGGTACCAGACAAACAGAACAAAAAAAAAAAAAAAGGCAGAAAAGGAATTGCTTTTAAAAACAGTGCCTAGGAAAAGGGAGCAGCAGCGAACGCAGCGGCCAAGCTACAAATGGCATTTCTTGAGCTGTGCAAGGACTCTTGGCATCCCAGGGATACTCCCTCCTTTTCTCATCTGCAAACTGTGGCGGGAAAGCGGACCTTGGGGTGCCCCTGGCTCTTCCCCAGCTCCTGCTGCACTTTGATGAGTTTGTTGGAGGTGAGGTTGGTGATGGGTGCTGCCAGGTGTTGGGAGTGTTTTCTGTTTCAATTCAATCATCTTAATTATGCAAGCAGGAGAAAAACGTCTTTTTTAACAGGCTCTGATCAGAAGTGTTGTGCTTGCATAGCTTGAGGTCCTCAGATGAAATTTCTCCTTGCCTCTGATGTTATTGTTAAGAACAGCAATTTATTTTTTTAAGCTCTGAACCCTGAGAGCGCAGGGTTCAGTAGCCAAACGATAACTAATTAGAGCCACATGTTAATATCCAAACCAACGAATATGAGCGTGCAACTAAAACCTTGATTTCTCTTGTGCTCCTTTGCTTTTAAGGAGCAAATTCTCCTGAGCTTGCATTTTCATCTCATTGCTGTTCCGTGCTCTGCAAACCCCTCTCCTCTCCCCATCAGCGGACTCTGCACAGAATAACCGTGGAGCATGGCTGGAAGACGGATGTTTCAGGACCATTCTCTGGTTGTGTTTGATGGTGGGACTGACGTCCAGGAAGTTCCCTGGGCAATGCCGTGGGATATATAAGGGACCAGGTCGCCATGTCACTGGGGTTCAGACAAGAGTGAGCTCCATTTGCCTGAAGCACAGAGTAATTCATCACCCATCCCTCTGACTCATAAAAGAAAACGAACATCTGGCTTGGTGGTATGGAATCAGCCCCAGCTTTGCAAACAGGAAGCTGGGATGGACTCCCTGTCGCTTGGGCATCTCTGGTTAAAGTGTGTGGAGCAGCTGCAGCTCCTCTCCCAAAGCCAAAGCCATGCTTTCCTTCCTCAGCAAGCCCCTTACCTGTCTGCAGCGCCTGCTTTTCCTTCAGCAGAGCCACCTCCTGCGAGATGTTGTCAATCATGCCCTTCAGCTCTTCAATCATTTTGAGGCTCACGCCGTCTGTTGGAGAGACCAAGGGAGGAGCATGAACATCAGCTGCGTCCCCCAGAGAGGCAGCCGGAGCTGCTTCTGCCAGGAGCATGAACATCAGCTGCGTCCCCCAGGGAGGCAGCCGGAGCTGCTTCTGCTATCACAACCCCCTGTTCCTGTCCCTGTGGAGAAGGATGAACAGAAGGGAGCCTCGAAGCCAATGCCTGCTCCCTCGCACAGCCCCCAGTGCTTTTGCTCCACCAGCATAGTTCTACCATCAACCCAGTTTTCCCAGTTTGGGTTTTGGGGCTTTGTGGGGCCAGAGTCTCACCTGGGGTTGTGCTGCACCAGGGTCAAGCTCCCAAAAAGCAGGAGGGCCCCGTATGAGGCTGCCCCTTCTGAGCACGAGTCCTGCCACACACTTAAATCTGCTGCTGAATAGTTGTTGGTTTTGTTTTTTTTTAAAAAAACACAACTCAAAAACGTGCCCTTCCATCTGCTCTCCTGGGTGTGTTGGTAGGAAAGCACTTTGCTCGTCAGCCTGATGCTTGGCAAGCAGAGGCTGGAAGGGCTGCAGGACCTCTGCCAGATCTGCCCCTGCCCCACCAGCCCCCCATCCCTCAGCACCACCACCCACCCCATCCCTGGGGTCATCCCAGCTGCCTCTGCCCTCAGCATCCCCGGTGCCAGCACACAAAACTGGCCAGAGCTGCTCTCCTGCTGCGAGAAGATGTCTCCTTGACTGGTGAGTTCATTGCAGCCTCATGGGGTGAAAGGAAAGGGGACCATTTGCTTCCTCGAGGGTCGGGGAGCTGGGGGGCCAAGGCATGCAGCCGGGCAAGCGGGGAAGCAGCTGGATGAGCACAAAAGCCTGAAGATGACATGGTGCCGCGGGTGTGAAAAACCAAACAGGCCAGGAGGGGGGCACTGAGCTGCTTCATTGCTCAATTAACTGTAACCAGCTCACTTAACACTGAGGCATTAGTTATTATTTTGCTGCCTTTGATGAAACACTTTGTGGGAAGCAGCTAATTAATGCTGGGTTGGTTCCTTCTTTTTTTTCCATGCAAGTGGAACAAACGTCCCTTAGGGTTAAGTAATAACATCCAAGGACCAGAGCAGGACTCCGCCAATGCCTCTCTCACTGGGGCAGCTCCTTCTGTTGCTCCAGATTTGCGGGTGGGTCTCTGCCCAGAGGGTTCCTGCCACCTGAGGTGACACGTCTCCGTGATAACTGCTTGAGCATCACTCTGGTTCACAATGTCCGTCATCAACCCTCCATGGCCATCGGGATTTCTTCTTCCAACCTGGACCCCTGAGCCAGGGGATGCCATTGTCCCCATCACCCCCTGAGGCTCCCCCCTCCCTGGGCACCCTTCTGGGCGAGACCCCCGCAGCTGCTGGAGGAGGGCAAATCCCATCTGCCCTCCCAAGACATCAGGGGTCAGTTTGCTGAACAGCTGAGTCTGGGAAAAAATCACTGGGGAGCAATTTGCGGGGGAAAAAAACCCCGAAAGAAGGCACAGTGAATGTGCTGCCTCAGCATTTTCTAAAAAAATGCAATGGTTTGTCTGTTTCACAGTGAAAGGGCACCAGTTTTGTTCTGAAGCAGGGCCAAATGTAAACAATAATTATAGAAAAGAAGAAGAAAAAACAAACAAAAGGAAAAACACAAGTAAAAGAGGGAAAAAACCAAATAAAAGAAAAAAACAAGTAAAAGGGAAAAACAAATAAAAGCGAAAAAAAAAGAGAAAAAGCTTGACTTGAATAATCTTTTCTTTTCTAACATTCCTGGTTGGGCTGTGCAGAGAGAAAAAGCTTGACTTGAATAATCTTTTTTCTTTTCTAACACTCCTTGTTTGGCTGTGCAGATCAAAAAAAAAAAATCAATCCAGCCAAACACCCCAACCCTCCAGTGCCTTCCCCCTGCCTGACTCCCCCCAGTGAGGGCAGGGGGCGAGCAGGGTGGGGGATGCTGCGGATGAGATGGGGTGGGATGGGGCAGGTGGACAGACAGGCTTGGCTGTTGCGAGGGACTGGGGGCAAAGAGGATCCTCGTGGAGAATTTTGTGGTGCTTTTCTCCCTCTTTTCCCCCCTCCCTGGTGTTGGTAAAAATCAGAAAAAAATAAGTTAACCAAGAGCTGCTGCAGGCAGGGCAGATGGACCACCAGAGGGCTGGATGGGGCTGCCCAAAAAATGCCAAGTCGGCGGCTTTGTCCTTTCCCCTGCAGAAAAACTCACATCTCCTTTGAAAAGAAAACTACCAAGCTCTCGTTAAAAACCCTCCCCAGCTGCTCCAGGCAGCTGTATTTGCAGCACACCCCTGCAAATATTTTTAAATCAGAGCCAAATTTTTCCTGTCAAAAAGGTGGTTTTTTTCCTCCCACCTTTTTGTTACCGATGGGTGACAAAGAGCAGTTGCAGTGATACAGAGGGAAAAATTAGATTTTTCTAAGAAACGCATCTCTCTCTGCTGGTACCTCTAGCGAGAGCAATGCACCGATGTCCCCTGTATCAGCATAAGGGGATATTTTTTTGCTCCACATCAGGCACTGCTGCCATACCTGCCTTCTCCTATAGCTCATGTGCATTGAGGGAGGAAGGATGGGACAGTAGCAAAAAAAGAGAAGGAAAAAAAACCCAAACCACTAGGGAAAAGAAAACTTCGGCATCTTTTTTCGTGTACGTCGCATTCCAGTAGCCTGAGTGGTTGGGGCTTTTGTGTGGCTTGCCATAAATGTGTGAACAAGTGTTTTAAAATGAAGATCCATATAGATATTTAACAGATTCTATATTATCTGCCTACCCTTGTCTCCAAATCTACAACAGCAGTCTGTAGATTTTTGCTTCCAAAAACTGAATGGGGAGGGGTAGGGGTTATAGAGAGATTTTAGCAGAGGGGAAGTTTGGGGCAAACCTTAGTGATAACACAGAAAACATGCTGCCCTCTCGGGCTCAGACCCCGCTGTCCCCTCAAATTTATTCCAGGTAGGAACCTGCCAAAACCATTTCCATTTCTTCGCTGTTTTACAGAAGGACCATGCAATCCTTCCCACAGGGAGGAAAAAAATCAGCCTTTATTAGGTTTTTTAGTTGCTTTTTTAAAAGTTCCATTAAAGCACTGTTAAATGCCCAAATGAGCGGGCAAATCGCATC